ACACGATAATTAGATAGAGCAAAACAAGATGATTAAATAGAGGATTAAAAATTAGATGATTAGATAAAGGATTAAAGAGAAACGATGTTTACATAGAAGAACAGTATGGCTATAAAAGATCGAAAAAATAGCAACAATCTTAGAAGAATATTGGGAATAGTTGGAAATATATGTGAGTTACTGATATTGTGCACTATATAACATTAATATGGTTTGCACACAGAAAAAGTAGAACTAGAAGTAGGAAAATTTGGGGAGAATGTTTCAAAAAGCTTAAGTTTTAAAAAAAAACACTAGGTGCGGTGAAGTATCAGAAACGACATAATGAGAAACTTTCAAACAGGGGCGCTGAGAGCTTTTGCCCTGCCTGGGGCAGCAACCCTGACTTGTGTCCTCATTTTTATACATTTTTTCTATATTATTAGTCAAGGATCTTAGTTTTGGAACCTTTTTTGTTTTACACCCCTGCTGATCTGAATGCTGATTAAATTTTAAGCATATATAGTGCCGAAGCTTCGGCTTCGGCCGAAGCTTTGGCCTCGGCAAAGTGGCTTCGGCCGAAGCTTCGGCTTCGGCAAAATTTTAGCTTCGGTACATCCCTAATAGCAAGTCAATAAACAGGGAAAGATGAATCATACCAACTATAAATTTTTTCGTTGAACCCATATTTTTCAATGAGTCTTTGTTTGATAACAAATACTTATTGAACTTATAAGTTTTAAAAAATGTTATGGCACAATGATTTATTAACATGAAAGGAGGCTTTTTAATTTAAAAATCAAATTAAGTTTTCAACTTGATCCCAAATAGGAATACTGACAAGTTTCATCCAACCGAAAGCTTTTAACTCTTTTTTTTTATTATTTGCATTCACTCCCAACAAGGCTGCAAGCAACCACTATTAAGTTGGAAGTTACTAGGAAAAAAAAGAACAGAATTATAGAGCAAGAAATCGGTTGACAGAAGACTTGAAAAGTTGAAGGTTGTATGAGTCAGGAAAACATGAAGATGGGAGAGAGTTCCAAAGGATTGAAGTGCGGCGAAAAAAACTAGATAAATAAAAGTTTATAGAGCATGCAGGGACAAATACAGTAAACAAATGAGACTTAGCTGAATGACGAGTAAAACGAGAATGAATCTTAGTTGAAGGAAGAGATGATAACTCCTTTGAGCAGTGACCATGATAGTATTTGTAGAAAAGAGAAAGAGATGCAACTTTACGACGATGGGAAAGAGGCTCAAGCTTAGCAAATAGTCCAGGTCCAACAACATTTACAATGTGTTTTAGGACCTTGTCAAGAAGAAAAAGTGAATCGTTAGAAGAATCAGCTCAAATATGACAACAGTATTCCATACAGGGGCGAATAAAAGATTTGTAGAGGTAGAGAATGGAATCATAAGTAAGGAAATGGCGAGCACGATAAAGAGATGCAACCTTAGCAGATATATGGTATGTATACATGGTTTCCATGAAAGGTCAGTAGTAAGCGATAATCCAAGAAGACGTAAAGAGGAGGACTCAGTAAGAGGATTGCCATTCATTAATATAGGAATGTTGACCATATTACGGTAGTTGTTTGCACTAAGCAATTGGGTTTTTTTAGAGTTGAAATTCACAAGCCACTGTGAACCCCAATCTATTACTGAAGTGAGATCGGATTCAAAATCAGCTGCTTGTTCTAGGCGATCGAAAAGAGAAAATTTTTTGCCAAGACAGGAGTATAAAGTTGAGTCATCAGCAAAAAGAGCTACTTTAGATGAAAGGTTGTCAGGAAGATCATTTATGTAGAAAAGAAATAAAACAGGGCCCAGAATGGAACTTTGGGGAACCCCAAAAGTTACTGGAAATAAAGAAGAGTGTTGGCCTTCAAGGATGACTTTAATAAACCGGTTAGAAAGAAATGATTTGATAATCTCAAAAACTTTCCCAGAAACACCATATGAAGCAAGCTTATGGAGAAGACCAGCATGCCAAACTTTGTCAAAAGCTTTAGGTATGTCGAGAGCAATAGCCCTAGCCTCACTGCCTCCATCTAATGTACAATAAAATTTTTCAGTTACAGCAGTTAGCAAGTCGGCCGTAGAGCGAGAGGATCGAAAACCCTATTGATAATTGGAGGGGTCAGAATTTTCTCCAGAGTTTTTGAATATTGGAACCACAGATGCCATTTTCCAACAAGCAGGAAAACAAGACTCAGTAAAACACTTGTTAAATAGTTTAGAGAGAATTGAAGAAAGTTCTGGAGAACAATTCTGCAAGACTGTGACAGGAATGTTGTCTGGACCACAAGCTGTAGACGAATTTAATTGAGATATGACTTTAGCAACAGAAGCCGGAGTGATTTTAATGTCTAACAATGGGTCAACCTGTTTGACTGGAATGGAAGGAAGAGAATGTCCATAAGATTCAAGAGTGGAATTAGAAGAAAAGTTCTTTGCAAATAGTTCTGCTTTATTCTTGGGAGAGGTAATAAGATCAGTCCCATGAATGAGAGACGGAATGTTAGATCTACCCTTGTTAATAATGCTGTTGAAGATTTTCCAAAAGTCTTTAGAGCCTAACTTCTGTGATAAGATGCGAGATTTAGTGAACTGAGAATAATGGAGTTTAGCATCAGAAAGCACCTTTTTACATCGATTTCTTGCAATAATAAATAGCCGTTTGTTCTCAAAAGAGTTGTTCTTTTGAAAAAGATGAAAAAATTGATAACGATTGGATATAGCACAAAAAGGAGAAAACCATGAAGTAGAATGAGGCTGGACTTGAAACCGACGAGAAGGAATAAAAGCTTCCATTCCAGCCTGAATCCAGGAGGTTACGTAGGAGGCGCATTTATCAGCTGTAAGAGAAAAAACATCTGCCCAAGGACCATCACAAAGAAAATCACGAAAAGAATCCTAGTCAGCTTTAGGGTAGTAGTAGGTGGTTCGATGATAAGGTGAGCCCAAAAAAGAAGTATGAGAAGAAAGATTTATAGAGATCATTGCATGGTCAGAACCACCTAAGGGAGAAAAGGGAGAAACGGAACCTAAGCTAGGGTCAGAGACAAGACATAAGTCATAGAGTGAAGGTAAATGATTAGGGTTGTCAGGAAAACGAGTCACAAAGTTAACTATCTGAGTAATAGATTGAGAAACGCAGAAGTTAAAGGCTTTAGTGCCAGCAGGATCAGTGGTGTTAGAGCCAAGCCATTCAGTGTGATGGGCATTAAAATCACCACCAACAACAATATTGGCAGTAAAGAGGGGAAAGAGAGAGGGCATGGTCAATTTGATCAGAGATAACATCTAAAAGAGTGCAATTATGGGAAGAAGGAAAACGATAAAGAACAAAGAGAAAGGTGATAGAGTGAAGAGGTGCTAGGCGAAAGCACATAAAAGAATGGTCAAAGGATTCAAACCTGATTTCATAACAAATAGAGGAATTAATGCGTATTTATACCCCTAAACCTAGCATGTGACTATTGGAGTCTTTACGAATCAAAGGATAGTACCCATCAACACTGACATCTGAAGAAGGAATTGCAGAATTTAAATTTGTTTCACTGAGTGCAAGCAAGTCTGGTGAATTTTGCAGGAGGTAAGACTCAACTGACAGAAAGTTGCTTCGCAGACCGCGAACGATTGTAAAAGATATATTAAAACATTTAGGTGGTGGGGATGGTTTTTTAGGTTTAAAATTTTTGGTTACTCTGGTCATGATTCGGGTTTAATGAGAACTTGACTTATTCATAGATAGAGCACAGCCTCCTAATCAATAAGCTATGCAGTTGTCTCAGTCCTGTTAATTAACCCTAAGTCGTGACATAGGGCTCCTTATGTGGCCTTGACAATGCACACCAAAGGCATTAACAGGGACACCTTCCATGCGCAACATGGCACTGTTAATACTCTGATATTTTGCAGCTGTTGATGGAATCAACCTCTCTGAGAGCTACCACAGAGTTCGGGAAACCTTACTACCAGCCGGCCTCAAAACCATTAAACTGAGTTTTAGAGCTGTACCCTCATATGGAGATAACAGGAAGAGTTGTATTTTGTTGTATTGTACTCATCAAAAAGTATTTTGGATGAGTGACATTTAAGGTAAAAGATTACTACATTTGTCCAACAACATCTGTGGAGTAGTCCAAGTTGTCTGTACACTTTTGCCAAGATCATCTGTATTTATCTTTTACTTTAATAACATCTGTCCAATATCATCTGAAAATTCAACTACCCCCAACAACATCTTTAGAAAGATGTAGCTACATCTCTGAGTCCAATAAATAACATCTGGAAGAATTTTCTCTAGATGTAGTTACATTTTAAAAAATTTCTATATATAAAAACATCTGGTTAAGATAATGCATTATTAGTTAATATTTTTTTCTAGATGTTGTTACATCTGAAAAACTTCTATATGTAATATTCTCTGGTTAAAATAATGGATTGTTAGTTTATATTTTTTTCCCGATCTAATTACATCTGAAAAAATTTTTACACGTAGCTACATCTGGTTACAGTAATGCATTATTAGTTAATTTTTAAAAATAAATCTTAAAAATAACTTCATTACATCACAGATGTAGTTGCACAGATGTTATTACATTTTGATAGTTTAAAAGATGTAACTATATCTGTAGAACCCACAGGTGTAGCTGCACAGATGTTATTACACTTTAATTAGGTAATTTAATAGATATAACCACATCTGTAATATTCTTTTAATTTTTGCACAGATGTTATTAGACCAAAGGAATTACAGATGTTGTTGAACAGATGTTATTATATTTTTAAATTTCTTAACTCATTTTTCAATTTTTTTCAAAGTTTTTGGAATGTGTTATTTATAACATTCTATATTTTATATATTCGAAATAATATTTTGAATATTAACTCAGTATTTGTTCCGTTTACCATCCATCTTTGTGCAGTGGATGTGTAATATCTACTTTATAATATATATCCACAACAATGTTTATTGACGTATAGAAAAAGTAATATCTTCTCTAATTTTGTATGTAGAACCGTTAGCATCAAACCCATGCAATCAACCACAAAGTATACTTATTTGATTCAAAAGCTTTATTATTATTTTTATATTTAATTTTCGGTTTTATCGAAATCTTTTATCAGTTATTTTATAGGATTAACAAGACAAGATTTTATACGTTGGCGGCATAGCCACCCCGGGCCCAAAGTCGATGTTGACCAGCCTCATTTTCAAAATTATGGGCCACATTCGTGCGGAGCAAGAGGAATATAATAGGCTGCAGCAGAAGTGCGAGAGTAAACCATTTTCATACACCTGTTAGGTGTATGTAGTCTTAACAATACAGAAATAATCTTTTTTTTTTTTTTTTGTTACGGTAAAATGTCAAATATTTGAAATTCTAAATAGCTTCAAAATAACAAATAAATTAAAAAGTTATTTCGTTTTTTTTTTTCCTTTTATTTTATTGGACTAAATTTTTAGTTAGTCAATTTAAAATACGTCTTGGAATATAATACTATAAAGTTTAGATTTCGTCGCTGCAAAACAAAACTTTTTTAATGGTTTTGTTTTGCAGCAACGAAATCTAAACTTTGAATTTTTTTTAGTTTAAAATACTTAACACATAATAAATAACTAAAAACAAATGAATTTAATAAAAAAAATTCGAAGCAGTGATTAAATTTAAAACTTTAAATGTCTTTTTCTCAGAACAGCAAAACGGACATAAGATTGTCATATTTTATATAGTTTAAAGATTATCTTAAGTCCATTTGCATTGTTGATTCTTATAATCCAAAATTTTTTTATTTTATTTGTTATATTATGAAAAAATAATAACATATTCTCTAAATATTTTAAAAATAATTTGGATTAATTAATAAGATCAAACGCAGTGATAAATTAAAAACTTTAAATGCAGAACAGTAAAAATGGACGACGGTTTAATTTTCATTTTAAATTGACTTTTGAATTGAATTTTGGAATTGTTCAGTTCGATACTAATCAATCAATACAATCAATCGCATTGTGTCAATAAAATATTAAAGATTTAAAGCGTTGGGGCAAAATGTTTTGAATTTGAAGTTATTAGCACTGCCGCTTTTCAAGATATCAGGCTTCCAATCAGACAAAATATAAAGGAATGAAATGAGTCAATTTATAAATAATTTGCAATCGACCAAAATAAATTAGGAATGTTTTTGAATTTTATTTTTCATAATAAAATGCCTCAAGTTACTTAAGACTTAATAGAAAATGTCAAACTGAGTTTGTACACAATTTTTTATGAAATTTATTACGAAATTTCTTGTATGAAATTTATTACTGGACCTTTATTACGAAATTGTTTAAGGGGCAACTACCCTCACATTTTTTTAAAAATTTGATTTTTTTTTTTTTTAATAATTTTAGACCAAAATTTTATGCAGATTTTGAATCTGCAAAAAAAATCAAACATTTTTTTATAAATTTTTGTTTAATTTATGTTTTTTTGAACTCAAGTAAAAAATATTTGCATAGCAACGCGTTGCTATGGGGGCGAATATTTTGTTAGTGAACATATCCTGGAGTACTGTTTCAAATATATGCTTTGATTTATATCTTCTTTGCTAATTAATATTCTGTTCCTTATCATATGCCATTAACAATTGCTACTTTAATACGATTTTATCTTTAATATCGATTTTAGTTAATGATTTAAATAAAGCCTCTAAACTAACAAGTATTATGTTTGCAGATGATACTAACTTATTTCTTTCTAACAGTGATATCTTTGAACTTTTTAAAACAATGAACAAAGAGCTTATACATGTATCGAGTTGGTTTAAATGTAATAAGTTAACTCTAAATTCTAATAAAACAAAGTGGACCTTATTCCATTCGCTTTCCAAAAAACGATATTTGCCATTAAACTTACCTAAAATTTTTATTGATCAAAATGAAATAAAAAGGGATTCCGTAACAAAATGTTTAGGTGTTTACCTTGATGAAAACATCACTTGGAATCATCATATCGACTACATAAGCAATAAAATTTCAAAAAACATAGGAGTTTTATATAAAGCACGAATCTACCTCAATAAGAAAATTTTAATCAAACTTTATTATTCATTTATACACAGTTATTTAAATTATGCTAATATCGCCTGGGGTAGTACAGAAAAAAGTAAGTTGCAACGTCTTTATCGCCGTCAGAAACATGCTATCCGTTTAATCTGCTTTGCAAATCGCTTTTCTCACGCAAAACATTATTTTATTGAAATGAGAATTTTAAATATATACGAGCTAAATATATATAATGTTTTATGCTTTGTATACATGTGGAAAAATGACTTGTCTCAATCTGTCTTCAAAGATATTTTTACTCCGAAACCCATCAACAAATACAATTTGAGAAATACTGATTTTTTAAATGAACCTTTCTGTCAAACGAACTTTAATCAATTTTGTATTGTCTATCGGGCACCACACCTTTGGAACAAAATTGTTTTGCCCAATTTTGATTTCGAACTACCCATTACTTTTCGTTTTTTTAAAAGTAAATTAAAAACCCTTATTTTTTCATTAGAAGACGCATTATGTTATTATTAATAATATAAATTAATAACTTTGCCTTTTCTTATTTATATTTGTAAAAAGTTTATTCTTACTTATTTTGCTGATTTTATATTCTTTACTTCACGTATACGTTTATTTAAAATATTAGTGAGTTTATATAAAATATTAGTGAGTAGATCCGCGTGATCTCTCTTTGGATTATAAAAATATATTTGGATTATATATATATGAAATTTGTAAAAATTTGATACTGTTAATGCTTGTTTGAACTTATTTAAGGTTCTGACGACAAGATCCTTTGATCTTCTTTCAGATACCTTATTTTATATTTGTGAAAGTTTATTATTATCATCATTATTTTTATTTTATTTTTTTTGGCAATATATAGTTGTAATACGACCAACAAATGTAAAATTAAAAAAAAAAAAAAAAAAAAAAAAAAAAAAATTATCAAAGCTAATTTATATAACAGCAGAAATTAAAAAATATGACAAAACCTACTGATTTGGGTGTTATTTTGAACAAAAATATTAATGATAGAGTAAAGCAGAGAACAAATTACTATAAAAAAAGAAGAGGATTTATGGTGAAGAAAAATAAAAATGCATGTAATGTAAGTGAATGTGACTCTATTGAAAGAAATATTTTGGGCGCATCAGCTAAAAAAGTAAAAGTTGTTACAAATGTACCAAGTAAAAACATTAAAAGAATTACTGGTTACAGAATTATAGACACTGAAATTTTATCTGAAGTTCTTTCATTGTTAATGTGTCCTCAATGTGAAAAGTGTGCACTGTACTTAGGTGATCATCAGAAAAAAAAGAAAGGTCTAGCAACGTTGCCATATTTAAATTGTACTACACTATCTTGTGACTATAAACCAATGACGTAAATAAATAACTAGATGTCTAACTTCGGGATTTTTATAAAATAAAAGTGAAGCCGATTTATTTGTTTACTATTTTAATCAGCCATTATTATATCGGGCAGAAAACAGTAAATATCATATATAATATAGAGAGTAAATTCGTGACATTATTTCTTTTACCTTGCTGGAGTATTTATTTAATTCAACTATTTTCATCACAAAATGGTTAGTTCTTGTGCTGCATATGGATGTTCTAATAGATATATAAAAGGTGGCACGAAATCCTATCATAAATTTCCTCTTCAAAATTCTGAATTATGTAAAAGATGGATTAATGCTTTGAAACGTGAAAATTTTCTTCCATCTAAACACACCTGTATCTGCAGCGACCATTTTTTAGAATCAGACTACAATTACTGTATCCCAGACAAAAAAAATCTAATGCTGTGCCATCAGTTTTTGTATTTTTTAAAAATATTCAAAAGACAAAAAGGAAACTCCCATCAATACGAACATCAGTAAATTCATTATCTAAATTTGATCCTTATCGAAAAAAACAAAGTTTGATGTTTGCCCTGCTATAGATAAACCCAGCAAAGAAATTAATTCAACACATAATAATCAGCCAGAAAGCACTATTGATCAAAATGACCACACTAGTCAATCTCCAACACAATCTATAAAATCTTTATCACCAGCAAAAGAAAAATAAATAAAAAAGTTAAGGTTTTACAACAAAAATTAAGAAGAAAAAAAAAGAAAATCTGTTCTTTACAAGACATGGTTTCCCTTTTAAAATCTAAAAATTATTTGACTACTGATGCTAGAACTGTTTTAAGCAAAAAATTTTCTGGACTCTCATATGAAATCATTAAGAACCAATTTTCCAATCAAAATATTAAACCAAAAGGTCACAGATACAACAATGAAGTAAAAAAATTCGCTTTAACTCTTCATTTTTATTCTCCACATGTGTATAACTTTCTTTGGCCAATGTTATGTCTTCCTGCTGCCAGTTCAATATCACATTGGACATCATCTGTAAATTGTGATCCCGGTTTATTCCTTGATATTTTTTCATATCTTGGTGATAAACGGAAAACAGATTTTTTTAAGCATTGTGCTCTTATTATTGATGCTATGGCAATCAAAAACAGTATAATTTATGACAAAAGTTCAGGTCACTATATTAGTTTTTGTGATTTTGGTAAAGTTATTTCTGTATGTGAACCTGATACTCCAGCTACAGAGGCATTAATTTTCATGTTAGTTGGTTTGCAAGGACATTGGAAAACACCTATTGGTTATGTTTTATCAAATAAAGTTAAAGCAAGTGATTTAACATGTTTTATCAAAAATATTTTAATGTGGCTTTGACATATGAACTTTGTATCAAAAGTATTACATTTGATGGTACCAGTACAAATTTAAATTCCGTTGTTCTATTTGGATGTAAGTTTGGCAATGTCATAGACAATATAGTTAGTACTTTTTTATATAATAACCAATTGCTCCACATTTTCATAGACCCATGCCATATGCTTAAATTAACTAGAAATTCTCTAAATGATTTGGGTGTTTTTATTGATGATGAGAGCTGCTATATTAAATGGAGTTATATTAAAGCTTTGTTTGAGTTACAAGAGCTTGAAGGTTTAAAATTTGCAAACAAACTTTCAAGAAAACATATTGAATTTCATCGCCACAAAATGAATGTCAAAATAGCTGGCCAAACACTTAGCAGCTCTGTTGCTGATGCAATTGAATTTTTAATGGTATCGCAGCATCCATCTTTCTTAGGAGCAAGTAGTACCATCCGTTTTGTAAGAGTTATTAATAAATTATTTGACATGCTCAATTCCTGAAATCCAAATGGTAAACACTTTAAGAAACCTTTATATCTAAATAATCAGCTTTATTGGAATGATT